TGGCATTGAGCCTGGGACCTGGGATGGGAAACCATTCAGATAGAAAATGATCATATAGTCATTCACTCAACACTGGCTGACTTCCCACCATGAATTCATTTCATGTCCTTGGCAGCCACTCTTTTTTTTTGTTTTTTGTTTTTCCAGTTGTGGGCTTGAACTCAGGGCCTGGGTGATGCCCTGAGCTCTTTTGCTCAAGGCTAGCACTCAACCACTTTGAGCCACAGTGCCACTTTCAGTTTCCTGGTGATTCATTGGAGAAAAGAGTCTCATGGACTTTCCTGCCTAGGCTGGCTTTGAACTGTGAACCTCAGATCTCAGCCTCCTGAGTAGCTAAGATTACAGATGTGAGCCACAGGTGCCCGGTGACATCGATTCCTAAGGAGACATTTGCTCTTGAGGTGGCACAGGTCCTAGGCAGGCACTTCAGTCAGTGAGGAGCCAGGATTTGAACCCAGGTCCTTTTGTCTCATGAGCTTGTGTCTGGTTTGGGTCAAGCAAAAGGTAACCATGCTGGTTCTGGGGTGGGGGAGGTGGGAGTTAAAAGCCCAAAGACTTCTGGGTTCCCTGGACTGTCACACTCCTCTGGGGACCCGGCCCTGCTAAACACAAGCACTAGCATTCCTGCACACCCTCTTCACAGGCCAAGCTGCACACGGAAGACCTTTAGTCAGTCTGGACATGGCCTGCATTTGCTGAGCTGGCTGCCTCCAGCTGGCTGCGTCCGAGGCCTCCGCTGCCCACACTCACCTCACCACCTCCATTATACAGAGAATAAGTTCCCAGAAAAACCCCTGCTCTGACTCACAAGGCCCCAGGGGTGGGCAGCAGCCCTGCTGGCCTGAGCCTTGTTTACCCCTCTCCCTGCCTGAAGAGGGTTTCCAGTCCACTGCTGAGGTGTCTAGAAGTACACCCCTCCTCACCCCTGCTCACCCTTCCTCACCCCTCCCTGCCCCTGAGTATCATATCTGCCTTCCTTCTTACTTCAGACAGAGAAATGGCTTGGCTGTGCTCCTGCCAGGAAAAGCTAGTCAATGGAGTCAGAATAGCAGGTCCATGGGATGGGGTGGGGGCAGAGAGCATAGTTTTGGAAGGGGCTGGGAGAACCTTCTGGAAATGTAGCTTGATCCAGGTAGGAGGATTTCAAGGGTAGATATGTGCAATTCTATATACAAAGAGTTGTCAGGCTGTGTATTTATATTCTATCTATCATCTATCTACTTACCTACCTATACTACAGACCGCAATAAGAGTGGCAGTAAAAGTAGCAAAACACTATGACTTGGGTTTTGTAATTGTATGGACCTGCATTGAAAACCTGTCTCTATTTTTTAGTTGTGTGACTTTAGATCATGTACTTGATCTCTGAATTTCACTTTATTTTTTAACTGCGGTATGGGTTTTAAGAATGAGAAACATTAAAATATAATAATAATAATACTTATAAAATGTCAGTATTTTTTTTCTGCAGCCCAGATTGGTCTGGGATTTTCAGTCCTCCTACCCTCAATCCCTATGGAATTACAGGAATGCACCACCATACCTAGCACTGATTTTTATAAATAGTCCTTAGTACCAAGTCAGCTATTGCAGGGTGTTCAATACACAACCATCTTAGCTGTTGCCACAGCCAACAGCAAAACATGAACAAGAGGACAGTATCTTTCCTGGAGAAGACAATAAGTGGAAGGGAGGGGAGCTGAGAATTTAGAGATAAAATAGGAGTTGATGTGTGGTCATCCTGCTTTTGATAATCCACACATGCAGAAAAATCTAAATAATATCAGCAATAAAGAATTCTGTCCTGAGCTAGGCACCAGTGGCTCACGCCTGTAATCCTAGCTATTCAAGAGGCTGAGATCTGAGGATCACTGTTCAAAGCCAGTCCTGGCAGGAACATTCAAGAGACTCTTATCTCCAATCAACCACCAGAAAACTGGAAGTGGTGCTGTGGCTCAAGTGGTAGAGGGCTTGCCTTTAGCTGAAGAACTCAGGGACAGTGCCCAGGCCGAGTTCAAGTCCTATGACCAACAAAAACAACAACAACAAAAAGAATTCTGTCCTGAAACTAGCATTATTTGTTTATGTTCTAAATAATTATGGTAGTAGCCATTGGGTTTGATGATATCTATGTAAGCTCCAGAATAGCACATTAATTCTTACCCTTGAATGAACATCTTCTGCACAGAAGTTAACTAAGGGACCGTCTATGAGCAGAGTTACCAAAGGGCATTCATTGTATGGAACTTTCTCAGTTAGGACTCTTTCAAACACAAAATATGTCTTCCATTTTGTTATTTGTACAGCAGATAACTTGGTTGAATGCAAAGGGGAGTTATTGAAATGTCCATTGGGGATGTAAAACATGAGGCCTGGCTGGGCGCCAGAGACTCACACCTGTAATCCTAGCTACTCAGGCCGCTGAAATCTAAGGATTGTGGTTCTAAGCCAGCCCAGGCAGGAAAGTCCCAGAGACTCTTATCTCTAATAAGTGGTGCTGAGGCTCAAGTGGTAGAGTACTCACCTTGAGCTGAAGAGCTCAGGACAGCGCCCAGGACCAAAGTTCAAGCCCTACAACCAATAACCAAAATGACAACAACAACAACAACAAAACATGAGGCCTGCTGCTGACTAAAACATTAGCAAGCCCAACTTGGTAGTACATGCCTACCATCCCTACTACCGTCAGGAGGCTGGGATAGGAAGAGGTTAATACAAGGCTAGCTTCAATGAAAGTGTGATATCTTATCAAAACAAAAACAAACTAAGAGCAAAAAGGGCTGAGAAGAGTGCTCTAGTGGTAGAGCATTGACTTAGCAACCTGAAGGGCCTGAATTACAACCCCAGTGCCACCAATCAATCAATCAATAAGAAATATTGAGCATTTCAAAAAAGTAATACAGCCGGGCACCTTTGGCTCACACCTGTAATCCTAGCTACTCAGGAGGCTGAGATCTGAGGATCAAGGTTCAAAGCCAGCCTGGGCAGGAAAGTCTGTGAGACTCTTATCTTCAATGAACCACCAGAAAACTGGAAGTGGAGCTGCGGTTCCGAGTGCTCACCTTGAGCTGAAGAGCTGAGGGACAGTGCTCAGGCCCAGAGTTCAAGCCCCACGACCGACAGAAGAAAAAAAAAGTAATACAATACAAAACCTTTGTCGTCACCCTGGTCCTCACTGTGTTCTTCTCTTCCCCTGCAAGTCTCTGGGCCTCTCACAACTTCCTCTCCACCATCCACGATCAGATATGTCTCTCCATCGCCAGCCCCTCTCCCAGGAAGGCACCCCGGTGGGACTTGCCTTCACACCAACAGATCCCAGTTTCCTCCAAATCAAGCTTCCCCTAAACAATCATTCTGGAAAAGTCTGCTGTCCAGCTCCATCACATTGAGGTTTGGGGTACTGGTGGATGTGGATATGGTTGGGGCTATAGCCTTCCTACCCTGTGAGATCACGGTGTGTGTGTGTGTGTGTGTGTGTGTGTGAGAGAGAGAGAGAGAGAGAGAGAGAGAGAGAGAGAGAGAAAGAGAGAGAGAGAGAGTATACTAGAACTTGAACTTGGAGCCTTGAGTTCTTGCTTTTTTTTTTTTTTTTGCTTAAGGCTGGTACTCTACTGTTTGAGCCACACATCCTTCCCTCCCTTCCTCCTTCCTTCCTTCCCCCCTCCCTCCCTCCTCTCTCTTTCTTTCTTTCTTTTCTTTCTTTCTTGTCAGTTATTGGGATTGAACTCAGGGCCTGGGCACTGTTCCTGAGCTTTTGCACTCAAGGCTAGCACTATACTACTTTGAGCCACAGCACCACTTCAGGTTTTCTGGTGGTTAATTGGAGATTAAAGTCTCACAGACTTTCCAGCCCAGTGGCTTTGAACCTCAATCCTCAGATCTCAGCCTCCTGAGTAGCCAGGATGATAGGTGTGAGCCACCAGCTTTGTCAAATCCTAAAGGCAATCCATGTCTTTGTACCCCCATGCCCAGAGGGTGGAATGCTACAAGTCTTCACAATCCTGGTATGAATCTGTATTTTAATTTTTACTTCCCCCCCCCTTTGCAATGGCCATTGTCCAGAAAGTTCCAGAAATCTCCCCCCATCCTGTCAGGCAATTTTTGTTTCCAGAATAGACAGGGCTATGGTGCTAGCCCCTGCCTCTGGTCTTGTGAATACTGTTCCATCAGCCTGGAACATTCTATCCTTCTTAACCCTGTCTTTGCTTGACCCTTTTCAGGGAAAGCTGCTTCAGAAAGCTGGCCCTCACTCTTGGTCTGAACAAAGGGCTCTCCTTGATGCTCCCAGGGATTCCACACCGTTTTCCCCTGTCTGGACTGTGTCCCCTAGATGGGTGCTGTGGTTCCAGTTCCCGCACAGCCCTCTCAAGTGGAGTGAGTTCAACGAGATGGATTGGGTTGGATCAGATCTCGTGGCAGCGCCCAGCATGTGTGGGCACACAGTAGGTCCAGGCCTGCTTGGGCTCGCCCACACCGTGGCTGCCTTCAGGGCCTGGGAAGCCGGCCTGAGAGGCCCCCTCATTGCCAAGAGCACACAGGCCGCCCAGGGAAACTGCTCTGGGTCACACCCACCCCTGGGTGGCTGCCAAGCTCTGTGCCAGAAACCACAGGCCAGGCTGGAGGCTGGGCCACGGGCTGCGGAGGCTCCGGGTGGATCCTCAGAGAGTGACGGCTGTGCGTTCCTGGGTCGGCAGCCCTCACATGGGGCACGGGGGTCCAGGGCAGGGCTGCAGCCGCTGCAGAGGCCTCGTGGGCTGGAAGGGCTCCCACTTCACGCACACACACACATACTCCCCCAGGCACCCCTTGGTGGCTTCCTCAATCTCCTCTGCAGGTAATTGGGCTCCTTGCTGTGTCCATGAGGGTGGTGAGAGGATGGAGAGATGAATGTGTGTGTGTGTGTGTATGTATGTGTGTGTGACCTCACAGCCACTGGGATATAACGCCTCTCGGGTCCTGCCTTCCAGACTCCAAGCTGGCTCGTGTGGGTGCACGGTGACATGAGAGGCACACTGCGGGCTCGTCTCCTGGCCATCTCTCTCCTCTGCCTCCTCTCCAAGGTAAGGAACCCGGGGTGGAGATGTAGCTCGGAGGCAGAATGCTGGTCTAGCAGGATCCATGTCCTCGGTTCCACCCCCAGTGCCTCAGTACATAATGGTTTTTTTAAAGGACAGGGTTCCAGGACCCCAGGTGACTTGCTCTACTGCTCCATTTTCCCAGGTGCTGGGCATGGGGTCGAGTCACAGCCCGGAGCCCTGAGCAGGGCTCCGCAGGTGCTCCTCTGAGCCCACACATCGCTTTCCTCCCGGGTCACAGACTACTGGCTGTGGCTCACTCTGCTGTGGGAAGTCCCCTTTCCTGTGAGCCTCTCATTCTGCATGGGTACAGTGCCGAGTGGTCCGGTGACCCTGGCTCAAGGGGACTGCAGACACCTTTGTGGATGGACGGCTTTGTCCCTCGGTGTTGTGCGGGAATTCCACCTTGCCTCCTATGCGCACCGAACAGTCTTATAGGGAGTTGCCCTCGTTTTAGCTCAGAGAGGTTGAATAACTTTTCCAAAGCCATACAGGAAAAAAAAAATGAGATCAATAGAGGAAAGATGTAATGGGGGGACTCTAATCTGGGTTCCTCCAGCCCAACCTGGGTCACCACAGCTGCTGAGCAGTGTAGTGTCCCCCCCCCCCCCCCCGCTCCACCTCCAACAAGTACTGAGCTCCCAGAGCCTTGTGAGGATGAGCCCTCGTGGGCCCCGAGTTTGCTGGGTTTTCAGGCTGATTTGAGGAGCTTTTCTCACCTGGGTCCTGAGCCGTGTTGCAGGAGAAAGCCGAGGAGCCTGCTGGCATCCAGTCTTGCCGCTGCTGGTCCCGCGGGGACAGGCAGGACACAGGGCCAAGGTGGGGGGCTTTGGGTGTTTGGAGAAGGGAGCTGGGCCCCTGGGAAAGAGAAAGGTCCAGGGTCAGGAAAGGCCCCAGTGGAGTGAGGGTGATGCCCATTCTCCCCCGGGTCTGGGTCCCACACAGAACCCCAGGAACTTAGTCACCACTTGTGTGCAAAGCCCCAGCCACCTAGGGAAGGATGCCAGCCCGGGTCCCATGCTCACCCTGGGTTATAACCATGCCTCAAGGGAAAAAAAAAAAACTAAGGGATAGCACCCAGGCCCTGAGTTCAAACCCCAGTATAGACACACACACACACACACACACACACACACACACACACACGCATGCACACACGCCTGAGTGTTGGAGACCCATGGATTCTGATCTGGGCTCCATCCTCGTATGGGCTGTTCATTGCATGGCTTTGACCTTCCTTGCCTTGTGGAAAGGGATGTGTTGGTTCCTCACAGTGAAGGGCAGGTGGATGACTGTGGAAGTATGTTCTCGCCATGTATGTGACACGTAGTGGGTGGTAGCTGCTGGCTCTAGTCACTAGTCACCAGCACACTCTGCTGGGCGTCGGGGCCGGAGGAAACCAGAAAGCAGCCAGGTGTGCTGAGTTGAGGGCTGCAGAGGGGCTGCAGGTGCTCAGCCCTCTTGTTTCCAGGTAGGAGGGACCTGAGAGCCTGTTCTGGGCAGACAGAGTCCCCGCCATCCACACCCAGGAAAGCTGAACCCCTGTTTTGGAGCAGAAATCCAAATCTACCTATTGCTTCACAGGCCGGTTCTGGGTTTCTTGTTTTTTTTTTTTGGTCGGTCGTGGAGCTTGAACTCTGGGCTTGGGCGCTGTCCCTGCACTCTTCAGCTCAAGGCAAGTGCTCTATCATTGAGCCACAGCACCACTTCCAGCTTTCTAGTGGTTTATTGGAGATAAGAGTCTCACGGTCTCTCCTGCCCAGGCTGGCTTTGAACTGCGATCCTCAGATCTCAGCCTCCTGAGTAAGCTAGGATTACAGGCGTGAGCCACCAGTGCCCAGCTCTGTTCTGGGTTTCTTAAGCACACTCAGATTGATGGCCCATTTCTAATAAGCTCCCCAAGGATGCTGTGCTGCAGGTCCACACCAGGATCTGAAATTCTGCAGAGTTCCTTCAGCCTTAGGTAAAGCCCAGTGTCTCTGCTACCACCCCCCACCCCCAAGGCTGGTCAGCTAGGGGGTGGCCCCTGGAGGTCACAGTAGGAACTGCAGGCACCTGGAAGCAGATTTGCAGGACTGGGGGTACTAGGGTAGAACAAGGCAAGGACTAGGATAAGGGGATCAGGATTTGCTCTGGACCACACAGGTTAGGCGGTTACTAGGGAAGACAGGAGCCCTCCCTCCTCCATGTAAGGCCCTTTAGTCCCTCAAGGATCCTGTTGAACATTGGTCCCATAGATGAGGCCATGGGTGGCAACTTGAGTGACACCTACCTCTTAGTCTCCACCACTAAATGGACAGGTTGCCCCAGGCCCCTGGCTGTCATGGGAGTGTTGCTGTGTCCTGCTAAGGGAAGGGTCATAGGGTCACCTGTGTTGAACCTTTGACTGCCAGTGCAGCTGGAAGTAGGCGCACCCCACCCAAGGGCCTGAGGATCTCATGTCCTTGGGGAAGAAGGACTTGGAGCTGCTTGCAGCTCTATGCAGAGCACTCTGGCTCTTGTCAAGCACTTTCTTCTCCCTCATTTTCCCCATTATACCTGGAGTTAGACTGGGGCAGAGGGGTAGCCCAAAACCTAGCTGTGTTTTTGAAGATCTGGACAGCTGGATAAAAATCCAATCCCAGAGCCGTGCCTCTGGAACTAATTAATTAATTAATATTATTATTGCTGTTCCTGGGCTCGAACTCTGGGCTTGTGTACAGTCCTTGAGGTCCTTTTTGCTCTGAGCTATCACTCTACCACGTGAGCCACAACGCCACTTCCGGCTTTATCTGCGATTCTTTGAAGATAAGAGTCTCATGGACTTTACTGCCCAGGCTGGCTTCAAATTGCAATCCTCAGACCTCAGCCTCCTGGGTAGCTAGGATGACAGGGGTGGGCCACTTGTGCCCAGCTGGAATTTCTGATTTGATTAATCTCAGAGGGGTTCTGGGGGTCCGAATTTTCCTGTTTCTGGCCTGGCCTTGTGCACACTGTAGATTAGGAATCATGTGTAGATTGTTCCAGAAATGATCCAAGCCCATCCATGACATTGTTGAGTTTGTTCTGCCCAGAGGGGAACCCACATGGGAAAACATGACATCTGACACCCCAGGTTGTGGCTCTCGGCTTCTCATGGGCTCCTTGGAGGCAGGGCCACCCTTTCTCATGTTGAACAAAAAGAACTTAAGTGCATGCAACACTATTACCGACCAGCCACTGCTCAGGGGGTGACGCACACCATCAAATCAGTCCCCACTTGGATACTGTGATAGCACTTATGTGACCTGCCCATGGCCACTCTGCTGGCCAGGGGTGGCATCAGGAATAGAACTCGGCTCCAGAGCTCCAGCACATAACTACAGCACCACAGGACTTCCAGGACTCAAGAATCGTCTGTGTGACTTTGAGAACCCCACACGGCCCAGCCTTGCAGAGAGAGAGGGGGGAACTCGGCATCCTGACAGCCATGACCGAGAGAGGTTTCTTGTCTCTAGGTGTCTGCGCAGCTGTGCCGCACCCCGTGCACCTGTCCTTGGCCACCACCCCGCTGCCCACAGGGGGTACCCCTGGTGCTCGATGGCTGTGGCTGTTGTCGGGTTTGTGCGAGGAGACTGGGGGAGTCCTGCGACCACATCCACATCTGCGACTCCAGCCAGGGTCTCGTCTGCCAGCTCGGGGCGGGCCCTGGCAGCCAGAGGGGCGTGTGCCTGGGTAAGCAGGTTTGCAGGATGGAAGGGGGTAGCATGGGGCGGGGGAGGTCGAGGCTATGGAGCTGGGAATCAAAGGGGAGCCTCCACATGGCAGGGAGTTAAACCCTCAACCTGTTAGTCAGGGCCTGGTGTGTGTCAATGTCCACATCACAGAAGCTCCTTGGCAATCTCCAACAGACCCATTCTGCAAGTGGGGAAACTGAGGCCCAGCAGCATTAGCTGACATGCCTCACAGCTTGAGTTCTCTTCAGACAGGTGTAGCAACCTCCCACTGTGACCTGGCTGGGCCCAGGAGCTGCGGTCCACAGGGTCACTCTTGGACCTTGAGCAAGGACACACTGTCTTGTAGGCCTGGGCATCCTCTAATGTCTTCAGGCAGGATTTCCAAGTGTGCAAGTGCTGCCCTTGGTGGGGTGCTTCTTTGCTGCAGGGCCTCTGTGGGGCAGGATGGTTCCCATAGACAAGGTACAGCAGGGGCCCAACCCTGGCCAGTCCCCCCTGCCCTGCCCACCCAGCGCCAGGGTGGGGATGGCTTGCTAGGTCCTCGGCAGGCAGCTCAGGCTGGGGGCGGCACCACGCATGGGCCTAGATGCGGTGGGGGCGTGGCCTCCCAGGGTCCTGGGGTCTCCAGCAGGTCCCTCACTGCTCTGTCCACAGTGGGGGACGATGATGATGGAAGCTGCGAGGTGAACGGGAGGCTGTACCGGGACGGGGAGGCCTTCCAGCCTCACTGCAGGATCCTCTGCCGCTGCGAGGATGGTGGCTTCACCTGCCTGCCACTGTGTCGTGAGGACGTGCGACTGCCTAGCTGGGACTGCCCCCGGCCCCGCAGGGTGGAGGTCCCCGGCCGGTGCTGTCCTGAGTGGGTGTGTGACCAGGAAGTGGGCCTGGGGGCCCCGCACCTCTCCACACAAGGTGAGTATGTAGTGCTGACCATTGCCGTGGCCACTGGGTGGCAGGGGACGGGGTGGTGGCCTGGCTTCTAAGGGACCAGGAAAATATGGGGACATGTTAGATGTTGGGAGGGGCTGGCGAAGAGGAGAGATGCCGAAAGCCAAAGGTCACCAGGCTCCTGTAAGTGGGCAAAGAATCAGTGGATTCGGTGTAGCATTTCAAATCTCAGAGAATTAAAAGTGAAGCCAGGCCTGCCGTCAGTGTCACACACCTGTAATCCTAGCTGAGATCTGAGGGTTGCGGTTCAAAGCCAGCCCAGGCAGGAAAGTTCTTGTGAGACTCTTACATTCAATTAACTATCAAAAGCCGGAGGTTGGGCTGAGGGATGGCTCGAGATGGTTGAGTGCCTGCCTGGCAAACGCGAGGCCCTGAGGTCAAACCCAAGTACTACCAAAGATAAATAAAATGATAAGCTGGAAGTGGAGGTATGATTCAAGTGGTAAACTGCTAGCCTTGAGCAAAAGAAGCTCAGAGACAGCACCTAGGCCCTGAGTTCTAGCCCTGGGACTAGCAGAAGAAGAAGAAGAAGAAGGAGAAGGAGAAGGAGAAGGAGAAGGAGAAGGAGAAGAAGGAGAAGAAGAAGGAGAAGAAGAAGGAGAAGGAGAAGGAGAAGGAGAAGGAGAAGAAGAAGAAGAAGAAGAAGAAGAAGAAGAAGAAGAGGAGGAGGAGGAGGAGGAGGAGGAGGAGGAGGAGGAGGAGGAGGAGGAGGAGGAAGAAGAGGAGGAAGGGGAAGAGGAAGGAGAAGGAGAAGGAGGAGAAGGAGAAGGAGAAGGAGAAGAAAAGAGGAGGAGGAGGAGGAAGAAGAAGAAAAGAAAGAGGAAGAACTAAAAAGGAAAGAAGGAAAGAAAGGAAGGGAGGGAGGGAGGGAAGGAGGAAGGAAAGAAGGAAGAGAGGGAAGGAGAGAGGGAGGGAGGGAGGGAGGGGAAAAAAGGCACCAAGGTGCAGATAGGCTGCGTAACTTGATCAGGTTTGCTGTGGCTGCCAAGTTCTACCCTCAAGTGCTCACTCCGCTTTCTTACCCCTAGGACGCCAGCTTTCAGCCCTTGGTGTCTCCTGCCCAGAATGGAGCACAGCCTGGGGCCCCTGCTCCACCACCTGTGGGCTGGGCGTGGCCACCCGGGTGTCCAATCAGAACCGTTTCTGCCAGCTGGAGACCCAGCGTCGCCTGTGCCTGCCCAGGCCCTGCCCACCAGCCAGGGGGCACAGCCCACCCACAGTGCCTCCTAGAGCTGGCTGGGGATGGAGATGAGGTACCCCTGTCCCCAGCAGGCAACTCTGTACCCAGGCTTGGACCCAGAGCTGATGGCATCTGCCCAAATCCTGGCTGCAGGTGACACCACCCAGAGCCAGCAGGGCAAGAACGCTAACAAGACGCCCTGTGTGCATGAGGTCCACACGGGCACGTGGCCAGGACCAGCCTCCACCCCTTCCTTCTTTTTCTGTTTGTTGGCTTCCCAGTACTGAGGCTTGAACTCAGGGCCTGGGTGCTGTTCCTTAGCTTTTTCTCTCAAGGCTGGGGCTCTACCACTTGAGCCACAGCTCTACTTCCAGCTTTTTGGTGGTTAATTAGAGATAAAGAGTCTCAGGGACTTTCCTACCTGGGCTGGCTTTGAACTGAGATCTGAGGACCTCAGTCTCCTTAGTAGCTAGGATCCACTGACACCTGACATACCCCCTCCCACCCCCACCCTTTTAACCCTGCCTAAGAAAGGCTAGACAGGGCTTCTGGCATTTCCTGGTACACCCCTGGCCTGCACACAGCACTGTCACACAGGCTCATGGATGAGTCTTCTCTTTGTCACCCCCCCTCCCCACCTTACCCCCCTCCCCCGCTTCCCCAGTCCAGAGATGAACGACTATCACTTTAACACTTAGGCTGCAGCAGGGTTCTGCAAAGTCACCCCCAAACAAGGAAGGCAGGTATGGACTTGTGCTGGCTGAGGGTCCCCTCGTCACCAGGCAGAACTCAGTGGTGAAATTATTTGTGCACAGCACAAGACAAAACCACACTGCCCAGAAGAAAGATCAGCGAACCCTACTTGGCATTTTTAACACCATCCTTGCTGAAACCTACAATGAGCCAGACACTGAGCCCGTGGGGAGAAAGGCAGGGCATAGGAAGGCCCCGCCCTGAGGCTGAGCCCAGCCCAGAATAAACCAAGCCAAGTGTGCCATTCTGTTTGGTGTGCTATTTTTTATTGTTACAAAGAGGGGAAAACAACAACAAAACAACACAAAGAGAGGCATTTTACATCCTCCTTCATAGTCTACCTGTGTTTCTATCAGGAGCCAAACAGGCAATTAGAAAACGTTACATTTACTCAAAAGGGGATTTCTAAGCACTGGTGGCTCATGTCTGTAATCCTAACTACTCAGGAGGCTGAGATCTGAGGATTGTAGTTCAAAGCCAGCCTGGGTGGGAAAGTCCATGAGACTCTTATCTCCAATAAACCAGCAAAAAGGCAGAAGTAGAGATCTAGTGATAGAAGGCTAGCCTTGAGCAAAAAAAAAGCTCAGGGAGAGTCCACAGACTCTGAGTTCAAACCCCAGGACTGGCAAAAAGAAAAAGGGAAAGGGGGGGATTTCATCTTTGAAACTGAATTTATTGTACATGTAATTCCCACACAGTTGCACACACAAGTCATGAGCTCATGGGTGAATGAGTTATTACAAATGTGAGACCTACACCTCGATCCCAGTATTTCTGGAGGTTCCCAAGGCCAGCCCTGTCCCCTCCTCCTGGCCAGCAACATCTAAGATGAGTTCTCTCATCTGGGTGAATTCTGCCTGTGTTCAAGCTTCGCATAAATACAACAGTAAGTAGGGACGCTTCCGTGAGTAACTGCTTCCACCCAGAAAACAAGGCCAGGACATAGGTGGGAAGCCAACTAGGGGGCTGTGAGCTCATCCAGAAGAGGGGTCCTGGCGCCCACCTGGCAGGGAAGAAAGAGACCCACAGCAAGGCACAGGGAAAGGGCAGTGGGCCTCTGCAATTCTTTGGACAGTGATGTGAAGGCAGGAGCTGAGGCCCTCTGTGTGTCAAGAGGAGGGGGTATGGGGTCAAGGTCATCCATTCAAAGATCATAGGTGAAAACCAGGCTGATCCCCCATTCCAGAGAGGAGAAACTGAGGCTGGAATTGGAGAAGCACACTTACCAGGAAAGGTCAGCTGAACCCAGGACCTTCTTCTTCCCTTCCTTTTCCCTTCCCTTCCCTTCCCTTAAATGCTGTCATTATCAAAAAGTCTCAGCTTTGGAGGTAACAGATAGGTTGATTAGGTTGATTTAGTCATCCTCTATTGTATGTATATATCTCACTATCACTCTGCATCACACCAATATATGTGATTATAATTTGTCAATTTCCAATAAAATATAACCTTTTTTTCTGGGCCAGTCCTGGGGCTTGAACTCAGGGCCTGGGTGCTATCAGCCCCTGAGATTGTTTTAGTCAAGGCTAGCACTCTACCACTTGAACTGCAGTTCCACTGCCAGCTCTCTGATGGCTCATTGGAGATAGGAATCTCACAGTCTTTCCTGCTGGGCTGTCTTTGAACCTCAGTCATCAAATCTCAGCCTCCCGAGTAGCTAGGATTACAGGCGTGAGGCACTGGTACTCTGCATGTCTATCTTTTTTTTTTTTTTTTTTTAAGAAAAGGGGTTTTGATGAGGCTTCAAAGAGTAAATATGTAGTGTCACTGAAAAATTGAAATTGATAGTTCTGGTCTCAGGATTTCCCAGTAGTTCTCATGTGGACCAGAGGTCCTCTCTCATACCCAACCCCAACTTCAGTAGTTCTCAAAGGCTGGTGCCCATATTTAGAGCATAACCTATAGCCTAGAAACATGAAGGCCTAGAAATTGGTGTCTTTCCAAACCTCCTACCTCTTAGAAAATCTGTCAAAGTACTGAGCCTGGCTTCAGTTGAGTTTGGGAAAGGAACACCAATGTACTGTTGCCCACTAGCGGGCACATACGTGCATGAACCGCGGAGAGGCCAGGAGGAAGCCTGGGAGACTAGCCCTCTGCCGTCCCCTGTGGCCGCGATGGAGAAGTGCAGCCGGTGTTGGGACAAAGCAAAGGCCTTGGTGATAGAGCTAGATCCAGAATTTTTTTTTTTTTTCTGCTGCTGAGTGGCTTTAATGTTTTTTAACACAACATCTAGGGAAGTTTATTAGTAGTTCTCTAAATGGTACACTTTTCTTTCATGCTTGTGCTGGCTTCAGAAAAGCAAGTATTATTTAATCAGATGTAGGTTTGGTCCCAAATCAGGGAACCCCCCCTTTCTTTCTCTGTCTCTGTTTCTGTCTCTGTCTGTCTCTCTGTCTATCTCTCTGTCTCTGTCTCTCTGTCTCTCTTCTCCCCCCCCCCCCCCCCCGCAATGAATTATGGCATCAGGGAGAACCTGATCATGTCTAGGTGGGCTGGGAAACCTGGTTGCACTTGGCTCCAGCACATTGGTCTGGTCTTAAATCATGGAGCATTCACTGCCCCTGCTGGTGTTCATCAAGACAGCTCAGATCTCAGAGCTCAGATAGTTCTCTTCATCTTTGCTTTAGCCTCTCAGTAGCCCCTCCTTCCAGGGAACTGACTTTGACTTCTAAACCCCTGCTCACCGCAAGGACTTCCCTTCTCTGTCTCCTAAGCCCCCCAAACTTCTCAGTTCCTGAAACATCCCATTCAAGTCTCTCTCCTCTCCCTCCCCCACCCTCTTTCTCTTTCTCTTTTCTTATGGTGTTAGGGGTCAAATTCAGGGACTTGTACATGCTATGCAAGCATTCTCAATGACCTACATCTACAGCCTCCCTTCCTTTCCTGATACCTGCTCTGTGCCTGCCATGATTAAAGTTCAGTGTGACATCTGCACTGAACTCACACCTTCTCTAGAAGGGCAGTCAGAGATTTGAAATGGTTTCTATAAAATGCAAAACAAAGCCAAACCTCTTCTCTAAATCAACATTAATATCCTAACCAAAAAAAATTAAAGCATGTGATACAGTGCTTCACTGCTAATGAGAGACACAAGATCTAGTTAATTACCACAATTCCAATGCAGTGACAGTATAAACAGTACTTAGAGCTATCTGCAACAACTTCCAAGTGATATGAAAATATCTGTGATTTCTATTGGCAACAGATCGGTACTGTTAATACTACTTTGTCATCTATAAGCATAATCAAAGGAAAAGTTAGATGTCAGAAAGAGTGGGAATAGGGCCAGGCACTGGTGGCTCACGCCTGTAATCCTAGCTACTCAGGATGCTGAGATCTGAGGATCTCCGTTCAAAGCTAGCCCATACAAGAAAGACCTGAGACTCTTATTTCCAATAAACCACTCAGAAAACCGGAAGTGGCGCCGTGGCTCAAGTGGTAGAGTGCTGGCCTTGAGCTGAAGAGCTGAAGGACAGCGCCCAGGCCCAGAGTTCAAAACCCACACCCAACAGAAAAAGAAAAAAGAAAAAGAAAGAGTGGGAATAAAGATGCAATCACTGATGAATCCCTCAATTCATTAATAATCTAAACTTGGTGACGAACTCACATAATTGGGTCCATCCTGGATCACATCCCTCCTTCCTGCCCAGGCCTCTCTGTCCATTTCCACTATCCAATTAACATTCTCTAAGTCAAGCTTGACCCTTCACCTTAATACTGTGTTGTTGTTGTTGTTGTTATTTTGTTGGTCATGGGGCTTGAACTCTAGGCCTGGATGCTGTCCCTTAGCTCTTCAGCTCAAGGTTAGTGTTCTACCACTTGAGCCACAGTGCTACTTCCAGTTTTTCTGGTGGTAAACTGGAGATAAGAGTCTCACAGATGTTTCTGCCCAGGCTGACTTGGAACCTCGATCCTCAGACCTCAGCCTCCTGAGTAGCTAGGATTATAGGTGTGAGCCACTGGCACCGGGCTGTGTTGTTATTTAATTTCACCAACAGCTAATAATATTTATTAATAATTACTGCTGTTAATAATTAGTAAATGCTGCTATTAATGACATCTTAAAGATACTAAGGCCCACAGAGTGGTCCAACAGCTATAAAGTTGTGGACACAATAGTCAAACAGAAGTTGTCTAACCTTGACCTTAACCTTGACTTCTTTATGCAGGCTGAGAGGGCTGGAAGAGGAAGAGGAAAATGAATACTATGTTCCTAAGAAAATTCCTGCAGGTGTGAATTTGTAGCTTCTGGGATATGGGGGTATTTAACATCCTGTATTTGTCCTAGGCTTTGGGGCTCCTGCTGGAAATCTGATGTCATAAGAAATGTCCCATCTGAGAGTCTGTGACACAGCTGTCATTTGATTTGATCTCACCACAGCCCTATTTGCTAATATGTTAAGCAGGGTAATGC